GTCTGATAAGGGGGGGAAGAGGTCACAAATTCAGCTGAGCCAGGCCGGGTAAAGCTCCGGCCGAGCGCGGGGCTCTGCTGCACCCAACGGTGCGCGGGAGAACGGCGGGGATGGAGCCAGGAGGGACGGGATGGAATTGGGAGGGATGGGATGGAGCTGGGAGGGATGGAGCTGCGAGGGATGGGATGGAATTGGGAGGGATGGAGCTGCGAGGGATGGGATGGAATTGGGAGGGACGGGATGGAGCCGGGAGACACACAGGATGGAGCCAGAGGAGATCCGGGACAACAAAGGGTCGGGGTGAAAGTCTGGCTCACCCCCTGCACTGGATGGAGGTGTGGGAAGGAGGAAGAGTCCCCCTGCGGATGCTTCGGCTCCTCCTGAGCTGTCAGAGAGTCACGGAATCGTTTTTAGGAGAAAATAGTTTGTACAATTCCAGATTTTGGGAGTTGGTAGCAACCTCAAAAAGGCCATGGGCAAAAGGACACCTCCCACTAGACCGGTTTGCTCAGAGCCTCTGTCCTGGGTGAAGGAGGTGACATCCCCAGAAACGAGCTGAGCTCCCAGAACTCATGGTCCTGGAGCAGGGATGTCCCCGGAGCAGGGATGACCCTGGAGTGGGGATGTCCCCGGAGCGGGATGTCCCTGGAGCATGGTGACCCAGGAGTGGGGATGTCCCCGGAGCGGGATGTCCCCGCATTCCCGGTGTCCCCAGCCGCGCTCCGGGCGGGCAGAACGATCCCCGGGGCCTGCGGGACCGGGAGCAGCGGGAGGGACCGGCACGGACACGGATCGGTGGCGCCGCTGGAAAAATCCCATTTTCCCCCCCGTGCCGCGAGGTCCCACCGAACTGGAGACCACCGGGAGGCGCTGGGAACCTTCAGGGACACCCCTGAGGATGCTCGGGTAGGGCTGAAGTGCCCCACAGGTCTGAACTGTCCCCCAGGAGATGCTCCAGGGAGCAGGAAGGATGTTCCCTGCGGGAATTCAGCCTTTCCCACAGAAACCCTTGGCTCTCTTCACCCTTCCCACTCACGGTGTGTTCAGAAGGTGACCAGGGTGACACGAGTGGTTGGATTGTCCCCTGCTGGCCCCGCAGGGACAATCCCGGGTCTCCACATGCCCCTCCAGGTGGTTGTAGGAAAGGCAACACTCCCCACCCCAGTGTCCTGTGCCTTCTGATCCTCTCCAGCTCAGGATTTGTCCTCATCTTTGTGGGGCCTGGGACAGATTGGAGCCTCCCTGGGACAATTCTCCATCTGGTTTAGATGGACTGAGATGCTCTCCCTGCAGCCAGAAAGGGAATTTTTCATCGAAACTTTACCCAGTTTGCTAGTGCCCATTTCCGTGTCTCTCCAACCCACCCACCGTGGGCTTGGGGCAGGGCAGACACACCCCAGTGTCCCCCCCCGCAGAAATTTGGGGTCCCCATGGTCTCCACACGGGCCATGGGGACACCAGGAAGGCAGGGATGGATAAATCCCAGGGGTCCCTGTGTGCCTGAGTTGGGGGCACTGCTCTGGGAATGCGGCAAGGAGGAAATTCCCTGTTCCACCCGCAGCCCTGGAGCACCAGGATGAGCCAAAAAGGGACTCGGCACGGGAGAGAAGCGGCTCTTCCCCGCGGGGCCCCTCTGCTCGCACGGGCTGGGTCTCCTTGGTGACGGATTAGGGGATTAGAGGGCTCAGGTGAGCCCTCCGCACGCCATCCCGGGCTCTCGGGAATGGCCCGGGAATGGCTCCGGGAATGGCCCCGGGAACGGCCCCGGGAATGGTTTCGGGAATGGCCTCGGGAATGGCTCCGGGAATGGCCTCGGGAATGGCTCCGGGAATGGCCCGGGAATGGCTCCGGGAACGGCCCGGGAATGGCCTCGGGAATGGCCCCGGGAATGGCCCCGGGAACTGCTCCGGGAACGGCCTGGGAATGGTTTCGGGAATGGCCTCGGGAATGGCTCCGGGAATGGTTTCGGGAATTGCTCCGGGAATGGCCCCGGGAATGGCCTCGGGAATGGCCCCGGGAATGGCCCCGGGAATGGCCCCAGGAACCGCTCCGGGAACGGCCTGGGAATGGCTCCCGGAATGGCCCCGGGAACGGCTTCGGAAAGGTTTCGGGAATTGCTTCGGGAATGGCCTCGGGAATGGCCCCGAGAATGGCTCCGGGAACACTCCGGGCACAGCTCCTGCCTGGGCCGCTCTGGGAAGGCTCCAAGCCCAAGAGCGACCGGGCACCACTGGGAGGGGGAAGGGTCTGTCCCAGCGCTGGGGGAACATTTCGGGTCAGAACCTGGTGCTGAAAAACTTCGGGGATGTCCCTGCCCTTCCCCAGCTCCAGGAGAGGAAAGAAATTCTGGGAGTGGGAAAAATGGAGTTTTACTTCGGGACAGTGACTTGTCTGGAGGGGGGCTGGGATTTGGGTCCCTCTGCTTTGGGGTTGTTCAGCTCTGGAGCTGCAGCAGGAGACAAAGCCCTCCAGGGGCTGGGGGTGCCGAAAATCCCCCTGAGAGGGGGAGTCTGCCCTTGGGATGGGAATGCCGAGTGTCCCCATGGAATGGGAATGCCGGGTGTCCCCAAGGAATGAGAATGCTGAGTGTCCCCAGGGAATGGGAATACTGAGTGTCCCCAGGGAATGGGAATACTGAGTGTCCCCAAGGAATGGGAATGCTGACTGTCCCCATGGAATGGGAATGCTGACTGTCCCCAAGGAATGGGAATGCCAAGGGTCCCCAAGGAATGGGAATGTCGATTGTCCCCATGGAATGGGAATGCTGAGTGTCCCCAAGGAATGGGAATGCTGAGTGTCCCCAAGGAACAGCAATGCTGACTGTCCCCAAGGAATGGGAATGCCGAGTGTCCCCAAGGAATGGGAATGCTGACTGTCCCCAAGGAATGGGAATGCTGAGTGTCCCCATGGAATGGGAATGTCGACTGTCCCCAAGGAATGGGAATACTGAGTGTCCCCATGGAATGGGAATGTCGACTGTCCCCAAGGAATGGGAATGCTGAGTGTCCCCAAGGAATGGAAATGCCGGGTGTCCCCAAGGAATGGGAATGCTGACTGTCCTCGTGGAATGGGAATGCTGAGTGTCCCCAAGGAACAGGAATGCCGTGTCCCGGCGGCCGGAGCTCTCCCAGCCCAGCTCCCGGCCGCGCTGTTTGCCATGTGTTATTTGAGCATTCATCTTGTTCAAGCACCACTTCAGCGCCGCAGGACGGGCCCTATCTCGCAGAAAAGAACCGAGAGCTTTCCTCCCCCCTTGTCCCTCACTTTCCCCCGGGCCTGGATTATCCCAAATAAACACTCACTTTGGGTAATGGTTAACTTTAATGGCTGGGCTGCAGCGGGAGGCTCCAGGGGTTGATAGTCCTCGGGATGTGGGAGATAAGGGCAGGGTTTGAAGGGCAGCGCTCGTGGCCGCTGTCACGGGAACATTCTGTGCCGCCTTCCCCAAAATTCACCCTGAGAGCCGGAGCTCTCCCTGGTGTTTTCCCGGGTGTTGGGAGCCGGGATTTGTCCCCGCAGGTCGCAGCCCAGGGGTGGCTCTGCCGCAGCCACCAGCAGCCACACGTGTGTGCCGATGCCACGATGCTCTGCTGAGCTCCGGGGACAGCCGCAGAACCCGCCCGGCCGCTCCTTCCCGCTGGAATGGTGTTTTCCCGAGTCAATGGATAACTTTACAGCCCGGGCACATCAAACAGAACAGCCCACATCTGCCTGGGAGATGTTGGGACAGCAAAGTTCAAAATTAAAGCCACCCTCAAAGTCACTGCCGGGCTGGAGGGGCATCTCCAGGGCCCTGCCAGATCCCCAGGGAAGCTGGGCTGGGTTTTCTCCCCCCACATGCCAGCAGACTTGGGCACAGGGTGGCACTGAGCAGGACCTTCAGTGTCCTGTGGGACCTTCCAGCTGCTCCCTCTGGAATCACCCGGGGAGCAGAGGAAGGACAGAGCCTCCCCCAGGGAGTTTCCCATCCCCACCCCTCCCTCCATGTGTTTTCCAGGTCCTGGACACGGTGTGATGGCATCAGCATCGCTTCCTTCTGAATTCCAAGAGGAAAGCTGAGGGGAGCCTCCCGTTGGTGCTGTCACCTCCTGGCCGTGCCCTGTGAGACCGTGTGGCCTCCTCCAGGATTTCACCACTCCCTCTTCCCTCCTGCTTCCCTTCCCGTCCTTGAGCAGAGGGATCTTGGCATTCCTGGAGCTTTAACAGCCCTGCAGGAACACTCTGTGCATCGGCCCAGCTTTTACAGCCCTCGCCTCAGCAGCGGCACAAACAAGGCTGGGAAGGGCACAGTGACAGGGGGGACACTGCAGGGAGGGACAGCCACGGGCTGGGAAAGGGAGAAGGGTTTTTTGGGATCCTGCTCTGCTGAGACCCCACTGAGGGGTGAGCCTGAACTTCCATCTCTGCTCTGAGCCCTGTCCCAATTTGCCACTGCTCAAGGAAGAGGAGCTGGCCCAAAGGGACCCCAGCCAGGTCTGACACCTCTCCCATGGGACCCTCTCTGGGGTTTTCCCCACTTTGGGAGGACACTTCAGGTTCTCAAGCAATCAGGCACCCTCTAAACCTCCCTGACATCCCCGAGATTCACTGTCCTGGTGACTTCAGCAGAAACAGCCTGGTGGCACAGCCCAGGGCTCAGCAGTGTCCCCAGGGACAGGAGGGGGTCACGGAACGTTCAGGTGTCTTGTCCCTCTCCCCCTCCTGGCTCTGCTCCAGCTCCTTCCAGGATCTCTGGATGCCCCATTTCCCTTCTCAGGATACAGAATGGGAGCACATGAAGGTGAGGGGATCAAAAGCAAGGGTTGTGTCCCCTCTGTCCCTTCACATGGCACTGGGACAACTCCAGGCTCACACCATCCATGGATCCTTCTCTGCCTGGACACCCATTTCCCCAAAAAAATCTTTATTTCCCCCTTTCCTTACACCAGGAAAGGCAGGGGGTGAAGGCAAATAAAGCTCTTGGAGCAGGAAGGACTAGAAGCCAGACTAGGTCTGCAGGTGATAAAATTTTATTACAAAATAGAAGATGGATCAATATTCCTGGGGGAGTTTAGTGGGGGAGAGGGTTCTGTAACCATCACAGCATCCCAGGAAAAGAACTCTTCCCCCCCTACACGTTTTCCAGGTCCCAATTTCTTCCCCATTGTGTTCATCTTGGATAATAAAGGATCACCTGGAAGAACCTATGAAGTCACACAGCACTTTTGGCCTATTTACAGCAATTTTCTCCCCGTTATCAAACAGAGATGAGGCACTCACATTCCAGCATTTGATCCACTCCTTGCAAAGCTTTTCCAAAATATCCCAGGGGACCGGGGATGGAGGGACCTTCATTTGTCACAACTGTCATGTGGCTCCAGCAACACCACTCCCCTTTCCCCAGATTTCTCCCCAAAAACAGCTGCCCTTGGCCACTAATACAAACCCAGAGCTGTCCACTCTGTCCATAAAAAAATAAGGAAATAAAAGCTGAGGATTTGCTGTGGTTTTCATTTTTAAAAACAAAAAATTGTTGCATAGAGAAGCATTTGCATATCAGGAGTTTGCATACAGAGCAGTGGGTCAGTGCTAAAACACTTCTGCCCCTCATCAAATGAAAACAAATATTTATATATTTATATATTTACACACACAGAGTCCAGGGGAGGACAAGCAGAGGCTGTAGGGAAAAAGATTCCCAAGATAAGCAGGAAAATTATGTCCAATTCCCCTCGGATTTCAAGCTGCCTGTTGATGGGTTTGGCTTTGTACTGGTTTAGCAAACTGGCTTTGGGCTCCATCGGCATCACGGGGTGGGGAAGGAGGGGAATTAGGGATGGGAAGAGGAGGTTTCCTTCTCCAAAGGCAAAGGGGGGTGAAAAGACCCCTCTGAGAAGTCCATGTGGGGGCTGATGGTGACACATGTGAGGACCCTGTGCCTTGGGGTTTGGCTCCTGCCCTGGGGAGGTCCAACCACAAGAGATGCCCCAAAAACCATCTTGGAGCATGGAGGTTGGTGCTAAGGGCTGGAAAACTGTTCCCACTGTTGGGAAAGCCATCCAACAATTCCATGGCTTTCGCCCCTGCATTCCCACCCTCCCTGGTGGCACGGGAGGCTCCTGGCTGAGGAGCCACAGGGCAGAGTCACCGCAGAGCTGGACCATCGTCCATCCCAAAGCCAGCAGCACACCATGGACCCCAAATCCTTCCTGCCCTCCTCTGCTGTCAAACAGACCGACGGGATTGGCTCTGTTTATCCACGGAAAAGGCCAAGCAGGAACCCAGCAGTGGCTCTGGCAACAGCAGAGAAGAGTGGCCTCCAAATTCCAGCCAACCATGCCATGGTCCAGCCTGTCCCTTCATCCCACACATCAATCCACGAGTCACCCAGATTTATCCAAGGAGAAACAAGAGAGGAGAAGGAGGGTGTGGAACAAATCAATATTCTGCTGGACACAGCAGACCCATTATTTGATCCTGATTTATTTACAACGCTCACAGCTGGTCTTGGAAGTGGCTCTTGTTGTGCCCAAATTCCACCCCTGGAAGGCTTTGGAGAACAGGGATGTGCATCCCACGGAATGGGGGAAGGAGCTTGGGGAGCTGGAGGTGGTGAACCTGTGAGGTAGTCATGTGATTCCACTCTGAACAGCAGGACTTATTGGAATTTGTTTCCAAGATGCTTTTTTTCCCCTGGGATTTTTTTTTTCCATCTGATAGAATGGCAACAGCACAGGCCTGGTGGGACCAGCAGCCACCGAGTCCTCGTGGGATTCTGGAGAAGGGCACCACTGGTGGATTCTGGGACACCAGATCTTCACTGTCTCTTTTGCTGTCCTCTGGGTGGCTTCAAACCCACACTGGTCCTCCCAGAGACACCCAAAGTCCAAATTCCTCTTGGAAGCAGAAATGCTTAGGACACAACCATAAAAACCTGGCAAGGCAGGGCAGGTGCTCACAGTCCCAAGCTGGCCACCAGGAATGGGCTGAGTGGGACACAGGTGACACTTATGTCACCTGCTTTTGTGCTGCCCCTTGTTTGAAGGGTGAGTTTGTCACAGGTCTGTTCTTCTGTGCCCCCGCAGAGACCGGGATAGTCACTGCCAACAGTCCTGGGCACAGCTCCTGTCCTGGCACAGCACTGGTGCCACATCCATGGTCACACCATGGGGACAGTGCCACATCCATGGTCACACCATGAGGACAGTGTCGCATCCATGGTCACACCCTGGCACTGATGCCACATCCATGGTCACACCATAGGGACAGTGTCACATCCATGGTCACACACTGGCACTGATGCCACATCTATGGTTACACCATAGGGACAGTGTCACATCCATGGTCACACCATGGGGAACAGTGTCACATCCATGACCATGCCATGGGACAGGTCACACCATGGTCACACCATGGCACCAGTGCCACACCCATGGTCACACCATGGGACAAGGTGCCACGTCCACGGTTACACAGTGTCACATCCATGGCAATGCCATGGGACTGTCCAAGAGAGTCCAAGTGAGAGCTGTCACAGCCAAGCTGTCACATCCTCCTGGGCCTCACCAAAGGGCCAAAACCCATCCCAAAAGGCCCTGAGGCACGAAGTTGCTCCTGAGTGACAAATAAATAGCAGGATTGCCAGAAGAAAACCTTTGGGCATCCAAGCTCCAGCGCCCCAGTGCCACCAGGAGCCTGGTCAGGAGATCAGTCTGCAGTCAGGGCTGGTTTGAAGCGAGCTGGGTGAGTTCCAGTCTCTCGTAAAACCAGACAGCGCCAGGGCCGGGCTGGCAGGGCTGTCCCGCCGCCTCGCCGATGGCAGCGCGGGGTCGTTCCTATGTACAGGCTCTTCCGTGGGACAGGGGAAGAGTTTGAGCTGCTTTTGGAGAAGTGGGAAGGGAGGCAGCTCCTAATTCTGGTGCCTCTTCATGTGCAGGGCCAGGTGGTCGGAGCGGGAGAAGCAGCGGCCGCACGCCAGGCACTTGAAGGGCTTGGCCCCCGTGTGCTTGCGGTAGTGCCGGGTCAGCTCGTCCGAGCGGGCGAAGCGCCAGTCACAGCCTTCCCACGTGCACTTGTAGGGCTTCTCACCTGCCCAGGGGACAGCCACAGGTCACACGTGTGCCCAGCCCCCCAAAAACCCCCCCTGGCCTCTGGAGGTGCCCCCCATCAGTGGCGCTGCCAGGGCTCCCCAGTGTGCACAGCCCAGAGCCACTGAGGGAGTATGGCTTGAGCTGAACCACACAGGTCTTTGTCCCTCTTCATCCCCTGCCCAGCCTCCCAAAAACACCCCCAAGCTTCTGGGAGACACCCAATTTCCTTGGCACTGCCAGGGCTCCCCAGGGCACACAGCCCAGCGCTGCCAAGGGACTGAGCTGCACCCACCAGGTCCTGCCCCTCTGCACCCCCTCCCTCTTTGCCTTCAAGTTCCTGCTGGATTTTGGAGCCTTTCTGGCTAAAAACAACTTGTGAATTAGGCTGGAATTTTTTTTAATGAAAAGCCAAAAATTCCTAAGGAAGCTGTGAGTGGTGGGAGGCACCAGGAGGAAGACAGGGCTCTAAATCTAAATGTTAATCTGAAAAATCTAAAGTTTTTTTGAAACAGTCATCCAATGTTGGTGGCTGCCCGATCCCTGGAAGTTCTCAAGGACAGGTTGGACGGGGTTTGGAGCAACCTGGTCGAGTGGAAGATGTCCCTAAAGGATCAGACATCTTTTAAAGACCCCTCCCAAAGCCAAACCATCCCAGGATTCCATGACCTAATGCTCCACACCTCCGAGTTCCCCTGCCAACAGCTCTGTACACAACCTATTGTATTTCCCTCAGTGCATTCAGGTGATGTCATCCCCGTGCCCTCTCCCCCTCCCTCCCAAACACACCCATTCCCAACCGAAATCCATTCCACCAGCTGGGAACTGGGCTGGAAAAGCCGGCGGCCGCTTCCAGCCAGGCCACGGGGCTGAGCTGCAGCCCTGTCCCCACGCAGGGCGTGGTGCTCTCAAATATTAGAGCTGCTCTCAACAGCCTGAACAGGCAGGCAGAGTTCAGGGAATGTGCTGACATTCCCGACCTCAAATATTTACCCTTTCCGGGGCCAACTGCCGGGCGCGGCGGCGGCGGGAGCGCACGTCCGCACGCAGCACGCGTGCACGGGCATGTGTGCCCTGCCCTGCCGTGCTTCCAGGGATTCCTTCCTCCCCAGCCTTCCAGGGAGACCTTCCCATGCTTCTAGGGAGCCCTTCCTCCCACAGGCTGCTCCACAGAACCAGGGAATCCTGGAACAGCTCAGCTTGGAAAGGACCACAAGGCGCTTCGTGTTCCACCCTGCCCAGACCAGCTTCCACCAACTTCCAGGGATTCCATCATCAGCTTCTAGGGATTCCTTCCTCTCTGTGCTCCCAGGGAGCCCTTCCTCCCACAGGCTGCTCCACAGAGCCAAGGAATCCTGGAATGCCTTGTCTTGGAAGGGGCTTTAAAGCCCATTTTCCCCAGACTAGGTTCCACTAGACCGTGCTCCACCTTTCACTAGATCCAAGTCCTATCCAACCTAGCCTTGAATAATTCCAGGGCTGGGAATGCCACGTGTGGCCAGGGAAGTGAAATCAGCCACAGCAAGGTCTCCAGTGCCTTGCCTGCAGTGGATAAAACACAAAAACTTGGATACATGGACCTGGAGGACACAGAGCAGCACAAGCACATCCTGCTCCTCCAAAAACCTCTGGATGCTGCTCCATGGGAAAGGGAGAGGGATTTTTATGGCTCAGGTAAACACAGTGCTTGCAGAGGATTTACAAGGAGTTGGTGGGAGTTTTATGGGACTTGGGACATGCCAAGACAAAGGTAGGATTTTCCCAAAGGAGGATTTGCCCCAAGGTAGGGTTTTCCCAAAAGAAGGATTTGTCCCAAGGCAGGTTTTTCCCAAAGGCAAGATTTTCCCAAAATTAGGGTTTGCCCCAAAATAGGATTTTCCCGAAGGCAGGATTTGCCCCAAGGTAGGATTTTCCCAAAAAGGATTTTCCAAAAAGAAGGCTTTGCCCCAAGGCACGTTTTTCCCAAAAGCAGGATTTTCCCAAAGGCAGGATTTGTCCCCTGCAGCCCAGACATTGTCCCCTCCAGGTCACCTGGCTGGGTCAAGCCCAGCGATTCCTTTGCTTTCAAACAATGCCAGGTCGATGTCCAGGACAGAAGCCCAAGGTTTCCCATTGTCCAGGGCTCCCCATTGTCCCCGGAGCTGGCTGCCTCTCCCAGGACAGCACGGCAGGGCGGGCTCAAACAAAGGATCCGAGGTGGCATTCCTGGCCCGGGGGTTTATGTTTAACCTCACAATGGCACCCAGGAAATGAATGGTGGCACCAGCAGAGGAAAACACCCAGCCATGGCAACGGGAAACCACAAGGAAAGGGCTCCCAGACCACAGACTTCTCAGGCAGGAATGGGAGAAGGGACACTTTTAACCCTTTGGGTGATGGAGCTGAGGCAGGATTTGGGGTGAGCCCTTGTTCTTGCAGCTCTGGTGAAGACCTCAGCAAGGCTAAGGCCTCCAAGGGAAAATATGAGACTTAAAAACATTGGATGCAGAGATCCTGGGCCAGGGCTGTAGGATGGCTCTGGATTGGAGTCCCTGCTTTTTGCTCATCCCACACCACCACCAGTTGTCCTGACTCCTCAGCTCACACCCTCCCTCACCTCTCCACCCTTCCCTCTAACAGCAAGGGAAGGAAAGGAGGCAAAGCCACTCGGATTTCCTGCATAATTACTGGGAAATTTGGAAAAACCACTGAGTTTTCCTGGATTTCAAACCCACCCAAGTTTTCCTGGGTACATCTTTATGTGAGATAGGTAAGGAGGCGCCCAACTCATGGATCCTGTCCTGGGCACAGAGCTCCCAACAGAAGGGACAAGAGATACTTAATTTAATTTAATTTAATTTTAAAGCCCTGATCCAGACTGTGATAAACCCCTATCAGCACCCAGCTCTGGGACAATATCCTTCCTGTTCCTTTTTCCACCCCTTCCGTGCTGTTTTCCAGCCCCTCATCCCCAGCCCCTGCCAAAGAAACATCATGGCTCACGCACAAAGCAAAATTCTTTGTTTGAAAGGCTGATAAGGAGAGGAAGGAATGGAGCCAAGAGCAAGAAGCAATTCCCAGCCGCAGAACAGGGTTTGGTCGTTGTTCATAAAAAAGAGAAGTGAACTCTGGGCCTGGCTTAATTGCTCTCAGTAAAGATCAGCCCTCCTATAAAAGAGATTTATGAGGGCACTGATGGTTCCTGGACTACCTGGGGATCTGATAATGTTTCAGGTATAATAAATGTCTTAATGAGGGCGCCGGGGCTTGAATGCAGAGTGTCACGGAGCTGGGATCAGCCCAGGGGGGCTGTGCTGGAGCTGCTCCCAGCTGGGGTCCCTGCCTGCACCCTCAGGAATGGGGCACAACCCAGCCCCTCATGGAATGGGAGCCCTTCCCAGTGTGGGTTCAGAGGGAGTGGAACTCAGGGAGAGACACGAGGGGTTCCTCCCTCTCCCTGGGAGCCCTGGGGTGGGGGTTTGACACAGAAGAGATGCCCTGGTCTCCTCAGAGATCCTAAACGTGCAGCCTTCCTGTAGGATCAGCAGGATCAGCCCTGGGCAGGATTTGGGAGATCTCAAGGGAAGAGCTCAGAGTGACAAAAAAATCAAAGAACAGATCAGGCTGGGAGAGACCTTAAATCCCATCTTGCACCACATCCCAGGCTGCTCCAGCCCCAGTGTCCAGCCTGGCTTTGGGCACTGCCAGGGATCCAGGGGCAGCCACAGCTGTGCCAGGGCCTGCCCACCCTCCCAGGGAACAATTCCTAATTCCCAATATCCCATCTAACCTTGCCCTTTTTTGGGGGGTTTGGTACCTGAGGCTGGCAGCATTTCCTGGAGCTGCTCTTACCTGTGTGAGTCCTCTGATGTGCCTTCAGGTGGGAGCTCTTGGTGTAAACCTTTGAGCAACCTGCAAGGACAGAAAAAAGCACAATTTCCCTGTGAGAAAGGGGCCCTTGCTCAAACAAACTGTTGTTTGAGGGGAGGGACAGAGCTGGGCCATGTAAATAAGCCTGGCTTGGGCTCAGCACTAACTAAGGAGCGTTTCCTCTTGGGCAGACAGATTTTAACACCTTCTCCTGCCACCCATGGCAATTGTGCTGGGAATTAGGGAGAGGGAGAGTCAAGCACAGAGGTTCAAACCGCCCTTCCACCACCAGGATGAAAAGAGTTGATTCCCCCACGTTTCTGGCTCTGTGCTGCCCTGTCTCCACTCATAGCAGGTATGACTTTGCAAGGCTGGGTTTTGTAACAGTCCTGGCCCAGCAGACGTGGTACCAGTGTTCCAGGAAGCAGGAAACAGCCAGGGACAATCACAACTTGGCTTCCAGGACCCAGAGCAGAGCCAGGGGGAAGTGTTTTCACAAGACCAGCATGAACAGGTTTCATCAAAGACAGGGTTTAACAGAAACACCATGACAGGGGAACAGTTCCAACAGAAGGTATCTCAAAAGAAATCAGTTTAACTGCTCTGAAGTTTAACTTGGATAAAGCTTAAGGAAGCTTCTGCTGCTCTTTCTGGCCCTGCTGCTTTGTGTTTTGATGAGGACATTCAAATATGAATTTGAATTTTTATGACCTGCACAAGCAGCATGGGGATGTTTTTATCCCAGTGTTCCCACCCAGCCCAGAGGAGCCTCTTGCTCTGGATCAGCCCTTGGTCCTGTCCTGCTCGGGTGGGGCAGGAGCTGCTTTTCTCCTCTTTGGCAGGAGGGACAAGGGCTGGTGGCTCCATTCAGTTTTGCTTCTGGTGCTCTGAAGCTTTGGCAGCCCCTCACATTTGGGAGTGAGATCGTGGAATCAAGGCATGGTTTGAGTTGGGAGGGACCTCCAAGCTCATCCCATCCCACCCCTGCCATGGCAGGGACACCTCCCACTGTCCCAGGCTGCTCCAAACCCCATCCAGCCTGGCCTTGGGCACTGCCAGGGATCCAGGGGCAGCCACAGCTGCTCTGGGCACCTGTGCCAGGGCCTGCCCACCCTCACAGGGAACAATTCCCAATTCCCAATGTCCCATCCATCCCTGCCCTCTGGCAGTGGGAGCCATTCCCTGTGTCCTGTCCCTCCATCCCCTGTCCCCAGCCCCTCTCCAGCTCTCCTGGAGCCCCTTCAGGCCCTGGAAGGTTCTGGGTGGGGGCTTTACCAACAGGTCTCCCACGTTCATCTGGTTCCAAGTGTGAAGTCTCCAAGCCCCTCTCACCTCCTCACAGAGAGCAGGTTGGTGAGAATTCCTTATCATTATTCCAGACTGGAGCCAACTCCAGATGAACCTTTGAGGGAGGGATCACATGGACCCCTCCTCCATCTCTGCATGTACAGACCCAGGATTTATTCATCATAGATTAAATTGGGGTTTGGTTTTTGGTTTGTTTTTTTTGTTGATTTTTTTTGTTTGTTTGTTTGGGGTTTTGTTTGTGTTTTTGTTTGTTTGTTTGTTTGTTTTGTTGGGGTTTTTTTTGCACTACAGACCAAAATCCTGCTAAAACCAGCTTGGCCTTGGTGCAAATCCTGCAGGATGAGCCTCTGAGCAGTCAGACTCGAGGAGTGTGTCTCAGGTCTAATTGCACTTTCATGTCCTCACCACGACCAGCAGAAGGTAAAAAATTCAGCACAAGCCATCAACCACTGGCAGCTTCTGGCTCAGAAAGTCCCTGATCCACAGGATGCCAGAGAGTGGGAAGGTGTGAGCACAGAAAGATCTCTCTCAACCTGCCCTGCTCTTATGCAGCTCCTGGCATCACGGCTGGAGACAGGATCTGGAGCAGGCAGAGCCTCTGGGCTGGCCTCCAGCCACTCCCATGCCAGGGAAAGGGTCAGTAAATCTCCCTGAGGCAGTTAGGAAGTGACTTTCCTCATTCACACACCCCCACGGGAAAACTGTTTGCTACTCCACAGCTGGTCAGCCCTGGGGATGGGCCCAGGAAGTGGGAGGTGTGTGCTGGCCCTGGGAGTGGCCATTTCCAAGCCCTCAGATGGCTCTCACTGGGATCTCTCAATGGGATTTGCTTCCCTGGTGTGTGCCATGGAATCCCAGACTGGTTTGGGTTGGAAGGAAAGCTCATCCAAGTTCCACCCCCTGCCATGGGCAGGGACACCTTCCACTATCCCAGGCTGTTCCAAGCCCCATCCAGCCTGGCCTTGGACACTTCCAGGGATCCAGGGGCAGCCACGGCTCCTCTGGGCTAATCGCCATCTTGAGGGCTTGGAGCAAACTGGGAGAGTGGAATGTGTCCCTGTCCATGGCAGGAGGTGGGATGACATGGCCTTTAAATGTTCCTTCCAACCCAAACCATTCCATGATTGCCCTTCCACAGCTCCTGCTGCAGCACATGGAGCCATGGAAGGATGGAACAGGGTTCAGCTCATTGCCTCTTTGGAAGATCAGAACTCTCAGAGAGAGTCCAGCCTGGCTCCTGGTGGGAATTCCTTGCTGGTTATCCACCCACTGTGAGAGAGAGGGAAAGAAAGGGGGAATGGGAATGGCAGAGTGGCTTCAGTGGCTGCTCGGGGTTTGGAAAGACCAGAGCAAAGCAACAACTCAGGAGCAGATTCCCAGGAGCAGATTCCCAGGAGCCTCCCTGGTTTAGGAGCTTTTCTGAGTCACTTTTGCCAGAGCATAAAGGGAGAGGGAAGGGGACAAAGCAGGAACCACACCATGCTGGTGGGATCAACCCCTTCTATTCCCTCCTACTTCCCTGGGGCTCCATGCACAGCTTCATCCCATAAGGATCTCAGCTTATCCTCCCTGGAGGCTCCTACCCATCCTCAGAGACCCCCCCAAGTCCCCCGTGAGCACACCTGCGTAGTCACAGTGGTGGATCCTCCTCTTCTCCAGCTCGGGGTTGTTGCGCCGGTTGTACTTGGGGGGCTGCATCACCACGGGCCCCTGGGAGAGGCCCCCGACGCCGTTGGGCACTGGGGGCATCTGGGACGACTGGACCAGCTTCAGTCCAAAAGTGGCTTCGTAGGACGGCGGGGGAGAGATGGTGTTGATGAGCTCGGGCTGGTTCTCGGGGCTGCCAGGCTGCGAGTTGGGGGGCGAGGGGGGCAGAGTCACCCCCGGGGTGGGGTAGAACTGCCCGGAGATGTTCCCAAAGCTCCCCTGTCCCTGGGCCACGTGTGGGTACTGCTTGAGGGGCCCTGCTGGCTGCACAGGTCTGTGTGCCACGCTGGCCACGGAGCCCGTGGACATGGTGACCCCGCTGAGGCAGCTGATGGCCGTGGTGCTGCTGGAGGAGGACGCCAGGCTGGGAATGTCGGCGCTGGCGGCGCCCAGGGGCAGCTGGAAGAGCTGGGACTGCTGCGGGTGGGCGGCCAGCGGGATCTCCGCGGGCAGCTCCTGCTTGATGAAGATGTTGTTGACCGCCACCGACTGGGGCATGCTGAACACGCTGGTGAAGTCGGGCAGGGTCTGTGTAGGGCCGGAGGAGGACGAGCAGGGCTGGGAGAAGCCGGTGCCGGGCTCGGATTTGATCTGCGGGAAGGGGGCCATGGGTTTGGGGGGCCGGTAGAGCCCCGTGCGCAGGTGGGTGGTGTCGGGCAGGATGACGTTGATGTTCACGCTGTAGGGCGCCGAGCTGGGCTTCTCCGTGGAGAAGAACTCGTCCACCACCGAGGCGCTCTCCCGGCGGTACTTCTTGTCCGGGAGCATCGGCACGGGCGGCGCCTCGCCGGACAGGTACTTGTCCATCTCTGAGCGTGCCTGTGGCAGAAACACGGACATGGGAGCTGGGAAAGGTGACCTTGGCAGCCAGCAGGGCGAGGCCAACGTCCAACAGGGATTTGAGCGAGCAGGAAATGCAGTGGTGACGGCTCAGGAACCTGAGCTGAGGTGATTTAGCTCCGGGTCTGACTCAGCCTGGCTCCCCACGGCTGAATCAGCGTCCTCTGCCCCACTTCCCCCCTCCCTATCTGCCTGATAAGACCGGGCAGGCAGGAGGGGATGCAGGTAGGACAGAAACCAAACCTGATAGAGGGAAGCAAGCTTTGGGTGCAAAGCTTTGGCCACACAAGCAGCAGGATGGAGCACTAGGAATGGGATGAATCCAGCCGGGATCATCCTTCAGGCAGGTTGGATCTGCAGCCCACCTCAGACATGCTGGCTCTGTCTCCTTTATAAACTCAGCAGCCTGAGGAGTGTTTTATCCTGGGACAGTCTCTTTAATGAACAGAAGAATTCTAGGACAGTATCTTTAATTAATTGGGAATAATTTGGGCCTAGAAATCTAAGTGATGTTGCCACTAATTCAGTGTGTTCTGAGCCTGAAATGGGAACAGCTCCTGCCTTCCCACCCCACCTGGGCAGTGACTCAGCCCTGGCCTAACCTTTGGCTTAGTTCTGGTTTTACAGAGCTGTTTTTACAAGCCTGGCTCCTCCAAGCTACCAGAACCTCTGGCTCTGGCTCCTTCCCCTCCTGGTTCCTGCCTGCTGGGGCATCCCACTGGATCCAGGCCCAACAATCCTTCAGGATTGCTTCCTGATGGAGCAATCCTCGAGGAAATCCATCCTCTGGCACTGGGTGACTCAGGTTCTTCTCACTGCGGTTGCAGATCCCAGCACTAAAGCTCTCGTGCGGAGCTCCAGCCTTCACTGCGTGGTTCTCCACGTGTCAAAGGCCTCATTCCCACAGAGAGCAGCTGGAAAAGGACCAGGTTTCCCTGGCAGAGCCCGGAGCGCACTCCAGGAGCGGGAGCCGAGCTCAGCCCACGCCCTGAGCCGAGGCTTCCAGCCCTGAACTGTGTCACCACGGTGCCATGGGCCAAAGTCAGCCCTGCTGCCTCCTCAGGGCTCTGAACAAAGCTGGGTGGGAGCCAAGAGATTTCCTCACCCTTTACGGGGAAAGGATCACGGAGCTTCCAGCTCATTCAGAGAGCCTTTGCACCTCTGGGTGCCGTGCTGGCAACACATGGCTGAGCTGGCTGTCACCCAGGCACGGGGACAGCCACAAATCCACCCTGGCCACTCAGGGAGGCCAGGCTGGGAAGGGCCACGCTGTGTGTACACGGCCTGCTGGGATTCCTACAGAATTGGGGAATTGTCACGTGTGGAAAGGACCTCTAAGGGCATCAACCATCACACGGCAAATGTGGAGGTGTTGGAAGTTCCTGTCCTGGTTAAAGGAAGCTCAAAAGTCCCCCTGGAGAAGGAACCTTGGCTCAGGCAGAGTCTAAAGCTACTCGTGGAGTCATGGGGTCCAAGTAGGAAGAGATCCACAAGGATCATCATGTCCAGCCCCTGGTCCTGCACAGGACACCCCAACAACCTCACCCTGAGTGACCAAACATTCCTGGAGCTCCATGGCCATTCCCTAGGGAGCCGGGTCAGTGCCCAGCACCCTCTGGACAAGGAACCATTCCCTCATATCCACCCTGGCACAGCTCCAGCCATTCCCTGCGTCCTGTCCCTGGTGCCTGCCCTCCCTCTTTACCCCGAGGCATCAGCAGGGAAGGGAAGGGACTCGGAGAGCTGCAGCTCCATTCCATCCCCATGGAGAACTCCAGCCCCTCCCTGCTCCTCGCTGGGCGGGTTCCTCCCTCGAGAGAGCCATGGCACAGGCCTGGAGCCCAGCCCTGGGCACTCCTGGCACTGGGCTGGCACGGGCCAGGTTCCCTTGGGAATCAGCTGCCCCGGGCAGCTCGGGATGCCACACATTCCTGAGCCATGAACAGCCCCACTTGGCAGGAGCAGGGGCAGGGCAAGTGCTGGGTGCCTTTTCCTTCACACTTCCCTTATCTCTGGCATTTCACTTTCTCACCTCCAGTTCCCAAGGGAAGGTCCTTCTGCCCTAGAGGACCAGGCAGATAGAAATGGGGAAAGGTGTGGAGCTCAGAGGGCCTTTCCAAAATAAAGGATTCCATGGAGGACCCAAATTTCCATGGAGGGTGATGCCTCAGGTTTTAGCTTTTGTATTTTTCAGATTCTATTCTACCTTAGTGTGTGGGTCTGGGCTTCACATGAGGGGATGGTGAGCTCTCTGCACAGAGCAGGGAGACAAAACAATTCCATCTCTAGCTGGAGACCAAGGACAAATGCTCCAAATCTCAGGCCCAAAAGCACAAACAACATGGGCTGAAGAGAGAAAAATAGGGATGGGAATTCATAACCTAAAGCTGTAATGGGACAATTAACCCCAATATGCAAATGGAGCAAAACTGATCCCAGTGAGAGCCCCCATAAGCGGCCGGGGATTTTGTGACCATTTTGGTTTATCTCGGGTGCAGCCCTGGCTGGGCTCTTGTGCTGCCCAAGGTGGATCCATTGAGGCCTTTTAAAAAATCCCTGCTTGATTCTTTAGCTCCATCCAGCCTCTGTTCCAGGTCAGCCTTCACAAGGCATCAAGGGCCCGAATTTCCATGGAGGGCCCTTGTTTAGCATCACCCAACCTCCCTTCCTCCAGAACCACCCCTCCCTGCAGAGCCAGTCTTTTCCTCATCTTTCCATTAAAAAAACCACAGTAATCCCCCTTCAGGCTCCTGGAGAAAGGTGTGGTAAGGGACAGCAGTGGCTGCCAGCAGGCAGGAGGACACCATCCCTGCCCCACTGCTCTGTGTGTGTGCAGCACCTGGACAACAACAATCCCACCCCATGGAATGCCCCACCGAGCCACAGTTCCACAGGAATCCCCAGCACCACAGGGACAAATGGGAACTTTCTGTTTGTGGCTCAGAATCACCTGGAAAGCTCTGCCCAGCCGGGTGCTGGCACCTCTGACCCCAAAGCACTTCCCAGCCCGTACCAGCCCAACCCAGAGGCTGAGGGAGCTGGGAAGGGGCTCAGCCTGGAGAGAAGGAGGCTCAGGGGGGCCCTTGTGGCTCTGCACAGCTCCTGCCAGGAGGGGACAGCCGGGGGGATTTGGGATCTTATCCCAGGGAACAGGGACAGGAGGAGAGGGAACGGCCCCAGGCTGGTGGAGAGTGGGAAAATCTTCCCCAAAAAGGATCGTCCAGCCCTGGCTGGAGTCCCCATTGCTGCAGGGATTTAACAGCCTTGTGCATGTGACATCTGGGGACATGGGTCAGTGGTGGCCTTGGCAGTGCTGGGGAATGGTTGGACCTGATGGTCTTAGAGGGCTTCTCCAAATTAAACAATTCTGTGATCCTACAAAGTCCTCAGGTCGGATCAGCACACCTGAGGGGACCAAGTGCCACTCAGGCACTCGGGTGCTCCTGCTGTCACTCCTGTCACAGCCCGTGGGGACACACAGGCCAAGGAGGTGACAGTGACACACTGACACAGGCAGAGAGGGAGGGACGTGTCCCAGCTGGAAGCGGGGATGGAAGGAGGGAGTGGGTGGGGAGTGGGGAATGTCCCAGCTCAGTCTCTTGGGGACTCCTGTGTGTCCTCTTCCCACCAGGAGCAGGAGGGTGCGGGGGAAGGAATGAGGGAAGCCACTCACCTCCAGAATGAGCGGTGGCATCCGCTGGTCCATCCTCATGGGGTGCAGCTGTGGGAGGCAGGGCTGGGTTAGTGGGGGGGTTGTCCTTGGCTTGGCCACCCCAAAGACACCCTCAGATTCCCCTGGTGAAGGAAGGCAGCACCCCCAGAGCTTCCCAGAGCCCCCAGGGCTCCGGGTGTTCCCCCTGCCAATGGTGTCTCCCCACACCCCCTGCCATGGGTTGATGGTTGCCCACCATGGCTGGAGCCTTTCCAAGGAGGAACAGGGAAGCCTTTTTGGAAAGAAGAGGCAAATGGGAAGTGTGGAGCTCTCCTGAGGAGACTGAGGCACAGCACCCTAAATCCCTTTATCACCCACACACAGATGACAGTGTGCTCACAAATGTCCTGCACCTCTCCCTTCTCCTGCCTCCACCTCTCCCAGGTTCCCACAGAGGGCCGAGGGCTCTTCCCAGATCCCTCAGACCCAGATTCTTTCTCCAAGGGCAGTGTTCCAAACAGGCCAAGAAGAGGGGAAGAGATCTGAGATTCCTCCAAATCCCAGAGCAGTATTTAGCAGGCTCCTGTGGGCTCGCTCTCATTCCACATGGTTCTCCTGCTCACTTGCAGGAGAATTTCAGATCTCAGAGCTGGAGACCCCACATCCTCTGCCTGTCCCCCTCCCGTGGGACAGCAGTGACCTGCAATGCTCAGCCCATCCCCTCCTCCAGGAATAAACAATTGCATTGTTGATAAGAGGAGTATGCCCCTCCAAGATGTGATGGTTATGTTCCCCTAGCTATTTAACTAGCCTCTGGCTTCTCACAAAATTCACTTGATTGCAAAGGCTGCAGTAAGGGACTAGTGGATCAGCTTATACCGAATTTATGTTGCATCTTTTTTGCTCCTCCACAGCAAAACCCACTTGTTCTCTGCTCAGTATCTGCTCAGTATCCCAGCTCTTTGGGGCAGGATTGAATTATCCCACACACAGGGTGCTCAGCTCATCCCCACACTGCACAAGATGTGAGCTGATGGCAAAAGGCCTCAGAGCCTTGCAGATGAAGAGCCACCAGGTTTTCGGTGGGATCACGGGCCCAGTTTCCTTCACAGGCATGGCCAGGCTGTCCCTGCCATCCCTGGGGACCGGGATGAGGGCAGGAGGCACCAGACACCCCCCAAAGCATGGCCACAGGCTCCAGCAGCCACCGGAGTCAGCAGCAGCTCAGGGAAAAGTGGAAACACCAACAAACCTTCTGGGAGGCCAGAGGGATTTGGATCGTTCACAGAATCCCACAATGGTTTGAGCAGGAAGGGACCACAAAGCTCATCCCATTCCATTGTCCCAGGCTGCTCCCAGCCCTGTCCAACCTGGCCTTGGATACTTCAGGGATCCAGGGGCAGCCACAGCTGCTCTGGGAACCTGTGCCAGGGCTCACCCACCCTCCCAGCCAGGAATTCCTTCCCAAAATCCCACCTAGACCCACTCTCTTTGATTTGCAGCCATCTTTACATGTCCAGGAAGGGAAAGCCAACAAGAAGCTCCTCTCACGCAGCCAAAGAACTGAATTCCAGGGGGATTTTCCCCACAAAGTCACCCAAGTTTGACCCTGGAGAAGCATCTCCTCAACTTGGCAGAGAAAAAAAAACAAAATAAAAATGAGGAGAAGGCACAAACCAGCACTTTGTTCACTCCAGAAAGGCCACAGGACACCAATTTGTGTCTCTGGAGCAGCAGTGTTACACTCAGCACACCCAAATCTGGTGACCAAAGTTCCCTGGAGGATGGGATAACCTCAGGATAATCTGGGAGAGCTGCAGGATGTGAATACCCCAGCCCCAGTAAAACCAGTGGCTGGATGAAGAGAGCAATGCCATCCCACCTCTGCAGAGTGGATTTTCCAGGAGCAGGATTTTCCAGTGGTTCATAGTGGTGGACATGAGCCCCTCCAGCCCCGGCAGTTCCCATAAATCCTGCAGGAGCCTGGGATTTATCCCTGGATCAGATGTCCCAGGCTGGGGGAGCTGTTATCAGCACAGAGATCGATTCAGGCAGAGTCCAACACAAACATTTCTTGGCAGGGCTCAGATAAACCCGGATTAACCACGAGCACGGAGAGCTGGGCTGGGGCTGGGGGTGGGACTGGCTGTCCCCTGATTAAACACCTCCTAATCTGCAGGTGATAAATGACAAACGGCCGGGGAAGGAACATCAGGAGGGAAATGGTGTTTGCTAAACAGGCAGCAGCTCTGAGGGTGGCACAGGGAGGGGCTGGGGGCACCTGGGGGCATTTCACCAGCCCTGTGCCCACTCCTGCCCATCGCCCAGATGGGACATTCCCTCCCAGCTGGATGCAGACCCAGCCCCAGTGTGGTGCTGTCACTGCTGCAAAGGTTTTTGGGGACACGGGGCAAGAAAAATGTCACCTGTGTCCATGCCGGGCAGGCAAGAGCATCCAGAGCTGAGCCAGCATCAGAGGGATGTGGAACTGCTGGAGGACTTCCAGAGGAGACCATGGAGCTGCTCCAGGGCTGGAGCCAGGCTGGGAGATCTGGGGGTGCTCCCCTGGAGAGGAGAAGCTCCAGGGAGAGCTCAGAGCCTCTGCCAGGGCCTGAGGGGCTCCAGGAGAGCTGGAGAGGGACTGGGGACAGGACAGGACACAGGGAATGGCTCCCACTGCCAGGGGGCAGGGATGGATGGGATATTGGGAATTGGGAATTGTTCCCTGTGAGGGTGGGCAGGCCCTGGCACAGGTGCCCAGAGCAGCTGTGGCTGCCCCTGGATCCCTGGCAGTGCCCAAGGCCAGGCTGGACACTGGGGCTGGAGCAGCCTGGGACAGTGGGAGGTGTTGGGTGGTCTCCACTGTCCCCCAGCACAAACCAGTCCATGAGTCGATGATTCTGGGGGCTGAAGGAATGGGGGAGCAGCAGGAGGTGGCTCCAGCAGGAATGGGGGGCCTGTCCCAGATTGAGGGACCCCGGGGGCACAGGTGTGGCACAACGGCCGTGCCACAGCCCAGCCCGGGCTCCTGCTCCTCCCTGCACCTGCACGAAACTCCAGCCTCCAAGGGAATCAGCAAACAATGGGCAGGATAATCATCAATCAACCCCCCTGGCACGGCCCTGGCAGTGCCCCTTTGCAGGCTCACTTTATAAATAGCCTGTATTTATATCCAGATTTGGTTCAATATCAGCATTTATTGTCTCCTGGTTAAATATTGACCTGGGTAAATATTTGATCCTCTGATCATTTGGGTTTGATACCGACCTGGATCGACGTTATTTTCTGTTTGTTCCTCAAGTCTCCTGGAACTCTCTGTAAAACGGGATTAGCAAAGGGGCTCTTCCTTTCAAGTGCCCAACGTTTGGCTGCTGTAAACAACACAGCCTGTCCCAGGTGGAATCTGAGCTCCCGTGGGAATGTGCTGGGCCCAGGGAGGCCTGGATGGGCTCCCCTGCTTCAGGGGCTCTGAGCAGCTCCGGGTGAGCGGCTGCACTCGAGGCACTTGTGGATTATTTGGCTTGGAAAACACCTCTGAGGTGACCAAGCCCAAGGTTTGCATCATCCACTCCAGACATTTCCCCTTTCCCTGCCCCAGTTCCCTGCCAGACAAAGGATGTCAGAGCCCATCCTGCCCAGAGCACTCCAGGATGAGGCGCTGCCCCCAAATCATTCATGGAATTTCATTCATTCTGCCCACGGATGGCCCAGGAGATGGGGAGGGTTATTGCAGTGCTCTTTCCTGCCCTTGTGTTGGATCTCCCTGAGCAGGGTGACTTCCCAGGAACCAGGGAAGCTGGGAATCTCCTTCCAGGCAGCCCCACTCCCAGACCTGCGGGCTGTGTTTGCAATTCCTTCCCTCCAGCAGCTGATAAAGGCTCCCTCAAAGGCAGTACACCTCAGGAATTTATCACTGGGATCATGCCACAGTCCCAAAGGCCAAGGGAACCAGGGAAAACAGCCTCATCCAACTCCAAGGTCAAGGGGCTGGAAGAGGAGGAGCTGGGAACAGCCAGGCTCCAGCAGCAAGCAGAAACCTTTCCAAAAATAAAGCCATAAATGGATTGAAAAAGAACAAAACCTTGGAGACACGGCACCCAGAGCGGGAAGGGACACAGGAGCATCTCCAGATGTGAGGGTGGGGGGGTCCCATGTTGACTTTGGGGTTGATCCCCATTTTTGGGGTAAATCCCATTTCTGCAGAACCACCGAGAGCCACCTCGGCCCTGGCTGGAGCTGGAAGGAAGGTGGGAATCAGGGATGGCCTCTCCCCTCTCCCATCACTTCACCTGTCACGAGGACAACTCTCAAAGTGTGGGAAGGGAGGACATGAGGATTTAAGGGAGCTGGACCTCCACAGCTTTCAGGATATTCCCATTCCATGATTTCTGAGCTGCTCCTGCTCAGCAAAGGCTGAGGTGATGCCCTTGAAAGGCAATGGAGGTTTTCCACCAAAGCTCCTGGAAGCTGCTCTGGGCTGATTCCTGGTGTGAGCTGCTACAGCCCCTTGGAGGGATTTTTGGGAAAAATGAAATGATCTAATGTCATTTCAACTCCTGGAAGATCGAGAGGCTCGGAGCTGCTCCAGCCTCAGCCGAAACACTCAAGGAACCCTGGGTGACATGGGCACAAACCTGCTCTGGATTTGGAATCAGCCAGGAGCAGGGGGCCCTGCAGCTTCACTGCTCCTTCTGGACTCAGCTCCATCCCAGAACTGCCTCTCCCTGACTCTTGGATGCCACAATCCCCAGGATTACCTGGGCAGATCTATCCACCTGTTCCTGCCCACAGGACACTGGGATTGGCTTTGAGTTTTCCAGTTCCTCCAGCTCCACATCCCTGCCCCAAGTGCTGAAGGTGCTGTGGGAGAGGTTTGGAGCTCCCAGGGATCATCCCCAGCTGGTGGGATTCACTCTGCCTGCCTCAGCCCCTGTGGCAGCTCCCTCTCCTCTCCAAGGCACGTTCCCAGGGGCTGACAATGCCATGAGTCACTGGCTGCTTGCTGGGGCTTGTGGAGCCCTCCTGGCATCCAGATCCCATCAAAGAGGCCACAAATCCTGTTCTTCCCA